AGGATAATATATAGCATTGTCAGAAGTCTTTGCCTATAGGAAACTGCTCTGTTTCTCCATATTTTCTCCTAAGAGTGACTTCTTTTGTAAGCCGTCTTGAGACGTTTAGTGAAAGATGGAATAGAAATGTTTTATTAAATTAAAATTCTTGTTCATGATACAGTTTATACATCAGGACAGTGAAGTGCTGAGGCATGCCCGTTCCATCCATAGCTTCTCACGATCCACACAATCAAAGGTTTGCCATAGTCTAGAATGCATAAGCTGATCTTCTGCTGAAATTTTTTGGTGTACTCCAATGGTCAACATACAGTTGCTATATTATTTCAGGTGCCTCTTCCTTTTTAGAATCCAGCCTGAATGTCAGGCATTTCTTGCTCCATACAGGGTAATATTCTTTGTTGCAACAGCTTGAGCATCACTTTGCTTGTATGGGAAATTAGTGTGATGGTCCTGTAGTGGATGCAGTCCTTTGCATCTCCTTTCTTGGGGACTGGAATATAGACTGAACATTTCCAGCCTGTGGGCTATTCTCTTGGGACTGATCCACTCTCTGCAGCATGGAATAGTTCTATGGGTAAAGTAATTCCTTATGTTCTTCCTACTTTTTTGTTATTTTCTCCTGGTCAGATAGTGTGTCCCCTTGCTTGTCTTTCAGCATTCCCAATCTAGGTTTGAATTTTCTTTGATTGCTTGGATCTTCTGGAAGAGGTCTCCCCTTTTTCCTCTTTCATTATTCTCTTTATTTCTTTGTACTGATCATTGCAATAGTTCTTTTTGTCTCCACATGAGAGTTGCTGAAAAGTTGCATTCAGGATCCTAACCCTGTTTCTGTTATCTTTTGCTTCTCACCTGCCCTTTCCAACTGTGAATGATTCTTATGTCATTCACGCAGACTTTTTCTTTCTTGTTGCTACAGGACTTGTCTTTTGGCATTCTTCACTAATAATGTCTCTGGTTTCAGTCCACAGTTCTTTTTGCTCACAGTCAATTAAGTTGAGCAATGCAAATCTGTTCTTTATGGGGGTTTAAATTCCTCAGACATGTTATTTAAGTTATAGTTTGGCACTATGTTTCTATTGGACATCTTTTTTTAGTTTGATCTTTAGTTTTAATTAAGAGCTGATGGTCACTACTACAGTTTGCTCCTGGTCTTCTTTTGGCAGCAAGAATACAGCTTCTCCTTCTTCTGTTTCCAGTTACACAATCTATTTGATTTCTGTATTGGCCATCCACTGAAGTCCACATATATAATTGTCTGAGTGAGTTGCTTCAAGTATGTGTTTTCAGTGAATAGGTTGTTGGTTTTACAAAACTCAACAAGCTACTCTCCTGCTTTATTGCTTACCTCAGGCCAAGTTCTCCTACAGTTTCTGAGTCTGCTTTGTTTCCTATTTTGTGTTCTAGTTACCTATGACTATCAGCATGTCTTGTTTTTCAATTTCCCATTGGTCACTTGTATAAAAATTTTCAGTGTCTTTTTCCTTGGCATCTGTTATTGGAGTGTAGACATGATGGTTATGTTGATAGGTATTCCACTAATTCTGATTAATATTATATGATCTGATTTTGCAATATAGCCTCTTACTGCCTGTGCTACATCTTGCCTGAATATTTGAAGTACATGAGATTTCAGCATCACAACAAACGTTTCTGAACACATAAAGGACTGAAGTTACAAGCCCTGGCAAGATTTGGACTGGAGTCCAATGATCATGCTGGGTGAATCAGTCTAGAAGCAGAGTCATTTTCAGGCCAGGTACTGAACACAAAGTTTTAAGCTAAAGATGTGGAATAAGGATGTAGGAGCTAGGCTGGAACTCCTTAACCAAGGCATAAAGAACCACACAAGCAGGCTATGGACTTGCTGTTGTCAAGACAAAGACACAGACTGGAAGAGTTCATACTGAGGTCAAGTTAGAAAGAACCCATGGAATACCTGAGGAGTGGAACCTTCTGAGTCCTAGGAATCAAACCTTTTATTTTCCTCTAGTGATTCAATGAACAAAGTGCAGGAGGGTCTTGATTCAAGAAGAAAGATTCCTGGACTCTCTGTTCATCCATCATAACATGAAGATCGGCATTCCTAGTGCTGAGCTATTCACTGTCAATGACCTCCTGTTAGTTAGAGCAGAGCAGCATCTTGGTGTTCTCCAAGCTATTATGAAATACCAACCTGAGGTTGTTGGTGATAGGAAGCAAAATGGGAACATTAAAAGTTTCTGTTCTTGTTGTCCTTGGAGAAATGAAACCCTACAGCCAGCTCAGTATGCCTTTCTCTTGCAGGCAAGCAATCCCTCATGTTCTTGGCCACATAACTTCTTTGGATAACGGTTTTGAGTGAACTGGCAATACACATATACAGCCAACAGTGATGCCCATGATGGGCTAGAGCTGGGGAAGAGCCAATTTACACAAGTTTTTTCCCTTATGTGAACTGTCCTCCAAGTCTTGAATGCAGGGGTTCAAGGATGGGTAGATAAAGGCTTCAGCTTAGTCACAGCAGTTAAAAAAGAGTCTGTACCTACTGCTATTGTGTAGACCATGGGTCCTCAAACTACGGCCCAGGGGCCGGATCCGACCTTCCATGACCATTTATCTGGCCCGCCTCAGAGGTTTTCAACACACCACGCACACGCCACGCACGTCCGCCCGCCGCTGCCCACGCCACCCCCTGTGCGGGAAGGCAGAGGGTTGCTCACGAGGAAATCGTTTTGGACTCTCGGAGAAAACGATCTCCAAGCGAGCAAGCTGCTGCATCGCGCACCCGCCACTGCATCGTGGCGTGTGCCCACCTTGCCTCGCCTGGCGTCGCCACACTCGCCTGCCTGTGCCTTGCTGTGCCCACATGCCCCGCCTCAGCGTGCCCGCGCAGCCCACCCCCAGTCCCGCTCCAGCCCACATGCCCCGCCGGCACCACCTTTCCGGCCTGCGCCCAGCACCGGCACCTTTCAACTGGCCCCCTGGTGAAAAAGTTTGAGGACCCCTGGTGTAGACCTTTGCCAGTTGTATCATCCCTTATTGTATCCATGCATTGCTCAGTCCGTGTGTAATGGACTGTTCATATAGAAGAGCAAAATCCCATAGAAGGAGAGAGATCATTTCCTGAAGATCCTGGTCAGTTGAAGTTAAGCTTTGATTTTGTTGTTGTTTCAGGCTAAGCTGCATTGCCTGAGGCTAACGGCTTGGCTATGGAAGACAGCTGGCTATTTCATGCCTCATTTCTGAACCTGCATGTCGGAGGAATGGTAGCCCAGGTCCTTGTGGATATAATTAAGCACTACTCTTTAGGTCCAGGAAGCAGAAGTACCCCATGGTTTCTAATTACCATTGCATTCCTGTTTGCACATGTCTCTTCTTTTGGTTCAATTACTAGGAATTAAGGGGTAAGTCAGTTGAAACAGTTTAAACATTAATATGTTGAGTAAAGACAAAATGGCAGGGAGTTGCATGCCTGAGAAAGAATTCCTGTTTACTTACTTTCATTTGCCTTATTTAAAGTTACATTTTCAGTACAGGGTATACCTGGCCTTGGGATAAATGAATTGTTTTGTTGTTAGTCTGACTGTAAATTCTAAAGGAGTAATCCCAGCTAAATGTATAGGTTTTCTCAGAATAGGATTTCTAAACATGACACTTTGGATCCCATATGAAAGAAAAATTTTGTAAGGATAGGCATTCTTTGCAGGCCAGGCCATGACATCCATTGGCCTGCATTTCTAAGAATCGGTGCTGTTGTTTCCTTATCAAAGACTGAGAGCAAGAAACCAATAAAACATTCACAACAGAAGTAAGGATTAAACTGAAGACCTCTTATTTGAATTTCCATACTGCCACACTGCTATTAGTGTGGTTTAGCAGTTGGAGTGTAGCAGTGAACTCAGGGGAACCCCACTTAGCCATGAAGCTGCCTGGGTGACTTTTACTGGTCATGCTTCTCAGCCCAACTAGCCCACAGGGCTGTTGTGAGCATAAATGAAGAGGAGAGCCATGGACACCACCTTGGATTCTTTGCTAGGAGAGAACTGTAACAATATATAGCAAACGTTTTAAAAGGGGTGCAGGAATTTGGCATCATTCTGCTTTCTGCTCTGCAAATTTCACAAACGGGAAGGAATCTGTTCTTCTAAAACAGTTAAGAAGAATCTAGGCCATCTTTTGAAAAGAGAATGTGAAAAGGGTACTTGGAAAGCTAATGTGATCACAAGGAATTGATTTGGGTATGTGTTCTGCTGGCTTCCACAATTGCTGCCTGGCAATATGAGACAATGTGTACGTGTGTTCATGTGTTGCTGCTTTTGTTCTGCCATTCTGCTGTGATAGCAGGATTGCAGCAAGAAAGGTTCATGCAAGCACAGAACTACTTTCATTGGGTGGGCTTGACCTCAACAATGAAGCAAACAGTTATATCCAATAATGCTGGCAGTGCTCTCATTTTGGAACTTGCGGCTTCAGGAAATTGAATCCTGTTGGGAATTTTTGCATGGAAAACTTTCAAAATGTGTTTTGGCTCTCCTTGCTGGAAAGAGGTTATAAGTGCTTGTCATGTGGCAAGAGAATTCTTGGCTTCCCTCTCTCGAGGCAAAGATGTCAGGAAAAGGGTCTCCCCTACTGAGCCCCTGCTGTGGTGCCGGTGGGATGTTTCTTTTTCGTGCACTGCTGCTGGTCTATCTCCAAATTTGTGTCTTGAGTATATTTTCAGTGTTGATGTAGGGCATCATCCACCAGTCATTACTGTTGTTCGAGAGCCAACAAAATATGGCAAATCTTTTTTCTTTTTCTTTTTTGCACCTTAAAGACTTTTATTCTGGCATAAGGCTTTGTGGACACTCTCCATTTCATGAGATGCAGTGGTAGGAAGGATAATGACAACACATTTTTTATCAGTCTTCAGCTGCAAAAAGGCTTCCAAGACAAACCCAAGTCACCCAGAAGGTGAAAAAAACAAAAGCCAAGTTTTATGGCTGGCAGGCTGAGAATCATTTGTTCCTTTTTTGCAGTCTTCACAGGTTGCTGCCTTTGCGAAGCAGGAATCTGACCAGAATATCTCTGCATGGAACCTGGAGCCCTCCTGGAGCCATAGGAAGGGAGTTGGCTCTGCTTTGGAGGAGGGCTGGGGCAGCAACTGCAAAGGGAATGCCCCTCTGGTCCCACCCACAAGGCTGCCGTGGCTCCCCAGGACAGAACCAAACTGGACAGTGAGTACAACTGGTTGAAAGAGATTTGGCACCCCTCATTTAAACCTGCTTTCCCCAACCTGGTGGCCTCCAGAGGCATTTGGACTGCAGCTCCTAGAATTCCCATGGAGCAGGACCTTTGACTGGAAATTCTGGGTGTTGCAGTCCAAACATAGGGTTGGACTGCATAGGGTGTTGCAGTCCAAACATAGGGTTGGACTGCATAACCCTATGGAAGACATAGGGTTTGGGAAGGATGACTTAAACAATTCATCCTCTGAATGCTGCAAGGGATGCTAACTGCTTACTGCCAAGGGAGGGGTTAAAAGCACCTCTTATTTTCCCTCACTTTTGTCTCCTTTAGTTACCCACAGTGAGGGAAGGGGAACAAAGCCAGCTGTTCAGTTTTCTGTCAAGAATAACATGCAGTAATCCGCAACAATTCTTGATGCTTGCATTAATTTACATTAATATGTCCAAGCTGTTTTGCATAATGTTGCTTTTTATTAGCAGCCTTGAGTATGATAGAGAAGCAAGGATGTTGAGTTCTGGCCACCATTTCACAGCCTATTTATTTAATGCTGAAAGTGGACTGAAACTGTTAAGTTGAATGGCTGTGATATAACTTTGGCCACATAGTGAAGTGGTTGTGTGAGTGCTTCTGTGTTCAGCCAAGTCCTAATATTTTCAGTATAAGATGACCCTGGTCATCAGCTGTGTCCTGGAACCATTTGCAAATCTGGATCAGCTTGTGAAAACACAACCAAAATTGCCTTGAAAGAAAACATGGATTGCGGTGGAAGAGGGAGGGCAGGAGAAAAAATAGTATGAATGGTTGTACCTTTGCCCTTTTTCTTTGCCGGACCAACTTCCAAAAGCAAAGAGCTCACTGAAGCTGCTGCAGTCATTTAGTTCAGTGGAGTTCCCTGGATGTCCTCTGTTTCAGAATATGTCCCCAAATTATAACTTCATTATAGTTCAGGAACTTTTATGATTACAGCTGAGCTTTTCTCACATGGGAAGAAACCTAGGGACTATATTAATGAGGGAAAATCCCTGCATTAATTAGGAAAGGGAGAGAACGCTGATGGTTGTATTCCTTGCCTCTCTTGTCTTTGATGCATCTAACAGCAACTTAGATTCAGCCATGTCCCACTCTGCTAAGGCCTTGGCTGGTTGGCTGCTAAAATAAAAAGGCACAAATCAGATGTGTGGTTCTTTAGAAGGAGGTTGAAAATTTCTGAATGGCTCCAAAAAACCTTCATAAGGCCATTGCTGTTCAGTGTGCCTTGTTCAGTGAAACGTCAGGAAACTGTGTCTCTCATGGTATTTGGGAGAGTCTGAACTGAATTCTTTTAGAGAGGTAGGCTGCCAGAGTTGTTGGATTGCATGTCATAACAGCAACTTTCCTTTTAAAAATAAAGACTGGGCCAGCTATTCTCTGCTAAGCACCTTACCAGTACAGGAAAAATAGACTGCCAGGACAAAAGTCACCTGCCTTGATGGCAAGCACAGCCACTTGGTCTGCAAGCCTGTGCAAGTTCAAAGCCTCGTGTTCTATTCTTCCCATTGGGTGTGGAAGCTTAATAGGCTCCCACGCAGGGCCGTGCCTTAAACAAGAGGAAAATCCAGCTATTTCACTTGCTTTATTCCCCACCCCCACCCCCACCCCATAAGAAGGGAATGTGACGTATGTGAAAGCCTTATCATGTTCCAAGAGCAACATGCTAAAGACAAGTGGAGAAGATTGCTCTATAAAAGAGGTGAAGAGGCCTTTTCTGATATAATAACCAGATAGGCAGAAACAGGGCCACCATGCTGTAGATTTTGCGTGCAATGAAGATATTTTAAACTGTGCATGCACATGTGTGTGCATGTGTGTGAAATGATAGTGGGGAAAGAGAAAGTTTCTGATGGTAGCCCTGGTCTTGTGTACTGTTCCCAGGTTCCCTGAAGTGGTTGTATAGGGGGAAATGCCATCTTGAAGAAGATGTTACTGCAGTAGGTGAGCTGCCCTATGAAGCTCATGCATTTTATTTATTTATTTATTTATTTATTTATTTATTTATTTATTTATTTTAGATTTCTAACCAGGCCCATTAGCCATATGTCTCCCTGGGTGGGTTATAACAATGCAAAATATTAATTATTTCAGAGTAAATAATTAATGATTATTAAATAATTAATACCTGAAATAATCTTGGAAAGTTCTTTTCCCACCACTGCTAGGAAAGGAGGAGGAGGACTATGCGTGTGTGGGGAGAGATGATGTGAAAAATAGGAGTGCCAGAGGCAGGAATCAGCAGTGTTTTTTTTGCCATTTGTGGCAAAGTCCTGAAGCCCTTCCCCTGGCCCCATCGCCTTTTTCTTGTCCACGGATCGTTCAGTGAATGCTTGCCTTTTGCGAAGCCTTTTCCCTGTTCTAAAAACTTGAAAGGCTTCTCCTAAGGCTTAGTTCCTGGCAGGAAAAGCTTAGCTTTATGCTACAATCTACTGGTGTCTGGGTGTGTTTTGACCCTGGCCCTTTTGCCTACAAGTGCTTGCCCTCCCCAGAGCTGCTTTAAAAGGGTATTTGGCACTTGGGCCCAAAGAGATTCAACATCCCTGGCCTGTGGCTTCATTAGTGCCACGGCTCAGCTTGTACCACAGCTGGGTCTTGAAAAGCGTGAAGCAATGTTAAGTAGCACCCATGGAAAGGTAACCATAGCCTGTGCTTCCTTACACACTCCTCTCCTCCCACATGCATACCTACTTATGTGTTAGTCTAAATAATATTCATCTTGCCTTATAAAAGAATGCCCAGGCAGACTGGCTCTGTTCAGCTGGATGAAAGGGAGGAACTTGCTTCATCACACCAAACTTTCCTTCTTTCTCCACACTTGCGGCAGAGGAGCTAGGCTTCCAGATGAGGGTGAGATCTGGCAGCTCTTCCTTTGGAAGTCATGCAGCTGCCCTGTGGTCTGCTCATCTGTTGTGAATATGTTGGTACGTAGTACTAAGCTGATGAATCTTTATCATAAGAGTTGGCTAGCTGTATGGGGGAGTGAAGCTATATCAGTCACCTCTGCTGTGGCAGCAGTCATGTACCTAGGAGCTGGTTTGAACTGGAAGAATGATAGAGACATGAAATTGCAGGCAGGGAAATGAACATACTTGAAGCTGTAGAATGTACATGGGTATGTACATGGACTTGCATGGACCACCATCATATCTTACAGAGGGATGCACTTGATTATGCCTACTCTGGTCCCTCCTGATTCCTTCCCATTCATTTTTTCCAGTTGATGTTACTTTCACATAGTCAGTTGGCAAGGAAGCAAAAGTGAAGAAGTGGAGATGTATCATAGTTTCACATGTAACTCCTCCCAAAGTGTCTTAGGAATTGTAATTCTGTGAGGAATTTATTGACCTAGAGAGCAAGCCGTGAGTCCTCCTTTTTATATTCCATCAATTTAAACAGCTGAGTTCAGAACAGAGGTTGAGTATAGGTTGCCACTGAACTGTGACTTGTTGTTGAAATGTAGCTTATCATGTCGGAATCCAGCCAAGGTAACAACCCAAGCTGAACAATCCACAGTTACCAACCCAACAATAAATCATGTGTTGTCTTCATGGGTTGTTCATAGTTAAGAAGTCATGGCTTGTTAGTGCAACTGGGTTGAGACAACGTAATGACCAGTGTTCCAGCAGCAACCCATGGTTCAAAGCCAACCCATACCCACCCCTATTTAGACCTTGACTGTGGGTTACTGTGCTGTCCAAACTTAGTCACTGAAGCCAGATAGAATATATAAAGCACTTATAGCATGTTCCCCAACCTAACAGTGAGTGTGCCAGAGCTGGCTGCCAACCACCTTCCCTGCTCACTCACTCTCCCCTGCCTCTGCCTCCAGCTGGGCAAAATTAGCACCACATCATACAGCCAAGTGCTTCAGACAGACTTCCTCCTGTCTCAGGGTCAAAGTACATGTGACATTAATGATGTAGATCCAGCTCAGAACCATTGTGCATGGAGAAGGGAGAATTATCCTCCTTGAAACAGTTTGGAAGGGATGGTTTAATCTTCTCCTTCCGGTGCACAATGGTCCAGATCCAAGTTGGAGATGCATTCATTCTCTCCCTCCTTCCGCCCCTCCCTCCCTCCGCCTCAGCAATATGCTACGCAATTAATGTAGCATGACATTTGATCCTCAGGCAGGGAAGAAGGAGAGGGTAAGCAAATGACAGCATTGAAAGCCTTTGATTTGCTGCTATGTTAGTCTGCAAGTTCATGTGTGAGGATAAACCTGCCATAGGGGGAATTGTCTTTGTGTTACTTCTGCCTTCATGTTAACATAGAAAGTCATTCTTACAGAACAATAGATTTTCGGATTGATTGGAGAAGGTAGGGAAATGAAACTGATAGAAAGCAGTTATCATAAGCAGCATGTGAGGTTTTTTTCTGTAGAATTATTTGCTTCCTACATAAATGGGTGCTTCTCAGATTTGCTTTTGGCAAAATATTGACCAAGAAGATCCTGTGGGTAGCATCTTACCTTGCACTTCTTGTCAGTTTGAAGAACACAAGCAAGACAGGATCCAGGCCACAACTAAGTATACTTAGTTGTGAAGAAATGCTCTCTCCTTTTGCTGAGTTTTGTGTAGCCCATTTGAACTGGCTCATGACTGGACCTCATGGCTCTGGTGGACCTCAACCCACATTAAATGTGGAAACCACGAGGCTCAGTAGAGAAGCATTTGAAGCATGAATTTGGGAGCTCTTGCTTGTCCTTTCCTTGTTCCTGTATTTACAAAAGATTTACGATATTATCTTGCCTTGCATTAAAAAGGTGGGTCTCCTGATTGCTTTTGTGTGTCATTTACTGTGTCATGTGCTAGAACCTGTTGGAGTTAAACCAGCTTTACGAAGTATTTAAGTCATCAGCTTCTCATACTCAGGCCCAAGCAGGGAATAAGCTAACAACAATTTACTTCATGCTTAATCCACAGTAGTTACCACAACTCTGCCTCATTTATATCAG